ATAAATGATATTGTTCCTAATGGTGTATATGTGAACATTCCCCCATTCTTGAACAATGGAAAATTTACAGAAAGTGAAGTTAAGTTAACAAAGAGCATTGCAAAATGTCGTATACACGTAGAACGTGCTAATGCTAGATTGAAGAACTATAAAATTTTAAATTTTGTGCCACCATACTTGCGATCCCTCTCTGGTAAGATTATACAGCTATGTGGTGCTTTAGTTAATTTACAAAACCCATTAATTAAGGAAACCAATGACACTGTTGACTTTGATTAGTCATTTTAATTGAAATATTGATCATCTTACATCAGTTTACTAAGGCCTGGTATACATTGGCATTGTCTGATCATAGTTAATCAATTAACTGTATTCTGATACAAAGAGTGGACAGGTGTTGTGTGATCTGTGAAAAGCTTGTAACCCTATTTTACTTGCTCATGATACAAGGAATCATGATACACAACTTAATGACAAACTATTTATTTCTGATCAGTATTCCTGCCACCACACCCTTATGCTAGTCTTATTATGAATTCAGATAACCAACTGTATTCAAATACGATTACAATGAATCTATCATTTTCTTGTCTCAAGTAGCTAATGTAAAAACCCCAGCAAATGTTGCTGTTTAAAGAAAAACAATTTTAAGATTAACATGAACATTTTTATTTTATATACACCCTTCAGTTACTGCATATTTGTTGTAAAAGTTGCAATGATTTTACCAAATAAAACAATATTTTAAAAAATATTTCTAAAAGTATGTATTATCAAATCCATTACTTTATAAAAAACTACATTAATTTTACAACAAAGTCTTAAAATTTAAAGACCACCATCAACAAGTGCAGGAATCATGTGAATTGTATAAAATTCTTGAAGTGAAAGAAGATTTGGTTCCCATGTGCAGTCTTTCTGGATTGCCAACACAACAGTTTGCATTGTTGTCCAAACCACAAAGTAACAGATTTGCTTCCCAGTTATAAACAGCTGACCCTGGACTTGATGCCAGTAGTGGTGGGATTGTTTTAAACAATAGCCAGCATCTCTCTTTACTAAACAGAACTTAGGGTCTTTAACAGCCTCCTCAATTGTTGAATTGCGATGTGTGTAAGGGCATTTGACTTCAATGATCGCATTGTCATCAACAAGTCCATCTGGTGATGCACCCAAAACACCAGACTTGTGTAGCCAAAGGCCACAATCCTTTACTACTTTCATTGTTAATTTGGTGAAGGCCTTTATTCCTTCTTTCTCGTTAACGACACCCCATCGAACAGCCTGCACTCGAGAGATGTCGTATTCTCCAAGAACACGCTTGATAAGGGAAGGAGTGACTCTTTTTGCTTCAAGAACTGGACCAAAATTGCTAGCAGTCAAACGTCCTTTTCTCACCACATGCCACTCTCCACATTCACGTTGCTCTTTCGTGATCTCACAGACTGATTTCACTTGCTGCTCACTTACTTTCAATTTTTCCAACAAGAAATTTGTATCAAGTCCGCTTTCAACAAACTCTCTCGATAAAATGATTTCTTCGACTGTGGAGATCGGCAGACGATTCTCTTTGTCAGGTTCGGGGCTCAAAAGCCATAACATTCCTGTGAACTCGCCGTATCTCTTCAGCTTGTTCCGTAGCCATTCTCTGTCCTCATCTGTAGTTTTTCGTTTTAGGACTTTAGTTTCTTTGGGTGGATACAGATCTTCTACCGTTTTAACCACCTCGGATGCCTTTTGTTTCTTCCACTGACATTCGATGTCAGTTCTACTTAAGTTGTGGTAGCCATGAAGGAACAGAGCTACAGCGTGACTACACTTTGAACCGCCACGAGGGCACTCGCATTCTGTGGAACGTATTTCGTTTTCTTGAAGATATATCTGCGAAGGAAAGAGAAAAAGAAATATAAGCTTACTTTTCAAGATTTCCTTTAAACGAAGATTCGAAATCACTTAATTTAAATAAGTTTTGGTTTGGCGATGTTAACGGATAGACATCGAGTAATAGAAATTTTACACTTACTGTGACTTTATACGTCGTACTTTTCATGCTCGCTTGCACTGACCCTCTGATAATTCCATCACAATAGCAAAAAGATAGAACGTGTCCAGATTGGTAATGGTTTTCGCCACGGTTTAAAGATTTAGGCTCATCTGAGAAGTATTTTGCGAACGATGTTATCGACAACGCCGCCATGTTAAACACATGTGAGTTTGTTTAGATCCAGCAGAAATGCAACCATGGAAACGTGACGTCAGGGCTTCGGTACTCTATTGTAATGGTACAAACGAGGGGTTCAAAATATTTGATTTTCATGCTAGGGATTCATATGGTAGAAGCCATTCCCAAGGTACATGTGTGCTGCTTGAAGTATTGTCCGTTAGCGACTCAGTGCATTATTTTCAGAGTATACATAATGATATGTTTGAGGTGAAAGGAGTAATAATTAATGAAGCTGAAAATAACATAGTTGTTCAGAACTGTGTTAGTGAAACTACAAAGTTTAACTCAAGTAATGCTGTAGCTATTTATTCACTTTGCTTTTCTATAATGAAATCATACAGTGATTGCACCACAAAAACATTGTCTACTATTGTTTATAATGCCAATAAGAATTTGCCCAAAAGTGTTCATGCTGTGGGTACCCTGGTCTGATTGAGAACATTGGCAAGGTAATATTTTCCTTGCATAAACTTGATTTACACATTGTGCATGTAGACGATACATCGTCTTTCGTTATCTCTGTAGCGCACCACATACAATACTACTGCATAACAGAAATTCTGCTGTGATTTTGATGATTTCCATCATAGTAAAGAATGGTAAAGAATTGACTTCTAAAAACGTTTTATTAAGGGCACCAAGATGGACTTGGCAGATGTTTATTTAGAAGGATAAGACAAAATTAATTAAATATTTGAAAGTCGTGACAAAAATTGCTACTTTAAACGTACCCTAAGAGAGCCCGACTTCATGCAGTTATGCATCTAGTTTAAACTGATACTGACATCATAAAACTACATCCAGAGAAGTAAACATCTTCCATCCGCGAAAATCTGTTCAAAACATCAGGGACTTCAACGGAGGTCTTCAGCTGCTTGAAAATACTACTGACTGTAGCGTGCGTGCTGATTAGTTTGCAAGCTTTGGGAACATCATCCCAGAACCCATCAATTTCCCCCACCCAGACTGGCCTCTAAATCCCCTCAAATAACCTCTTCAACAGCCAGAGTTGAAGAGTTTAGATAAAGTGAAAAGCTGAAAAAAAAACTAAATGGAGCTCTGCTTTTAGGCTTAGCTAAATCTATCTATTAGTTGTTGTCTTCATTGTTATCAATATTACCATATACCAAGCTTTCAGATCTGTGTTAAAACCCACTACAGTAGCAATTCTGTATTAACTACAGCAACTTTCAAAAACATTATTTCACACCAAAAAACGTGCTTCCAATTAACCATGTACAGAGCAAAGGCATCATAGGAAACTATCATAGAAAGTGTTATGAAGACTTACCTTCAGAGGAGCTGTCAGTTGGTGGTGGAGATGTTACTGGTACATTTGGTGGACATGTTTTCCGTTTTATACCAGACACACTAAACTCTCCCAGTTTGTTACCTTGCATAACTGTAGCATTTATAAGTGTTGTGATCACATTTTTTTCCTTTGTAGTGGAATTGAATTTCAGTGCAAGGTCAACAGTTTTAATTTCACACCTTGGGAGAGACAACAACCAAGGGTTAGAATGACATGAACTGGGAAACAGAAAACAAGAGGTAATAAAAAAAATTTCAATTCAAAATATAGAAATATGAGCAACTGGTAATCATCTTAATAATTTACATACCCCACACTTATTGACTGCACTCCTTCATAACCATATTTATCAGCAAAAACATTTTTAAGCTGTAAGTAAAAATCTTGATCATTTGTCAAAAAATTTCAGCATAAATGTCCCACACATGTCTACCTGTGTTGTAGACATACATTTTAAAAACAAATAAGAATGACACAATATTATGTACTAATTAATTAAAATGAACCCGGCCGTTTTGCTGAGAATCAGCTCAGAATCAACCAAAGTCTATGAGCAACTTAGTGAGTCCGTCTCTTCAAAGAATACCACTTCAATGAATGAATGTTCTTCTTCGTTTTACCTTCTTCATATTTTTTGGTGAAAAAAGCACCAAATCAATTATTTCCCTAAATACAGAGCAAGAGCAAAAAATGAATAATCATGGAGGTTGTGAAGAGCTTTTTAAGCTCAAGATTTTCAAGAACTCTGACAGACTGAGTGCAACCTAGAAATTTTAGAAACACTGTAGATTTAACATTAACACACATTCTCTCTAGTAGCTGAATTTCCTTTTCATCATTACACAACCAGCACATCACTCTCTGGCCCTGGAGTAATCAAAAATCAGAACAATTATAATACAAAACTTAACAGATCAAGTGCAGTTCAACACAGGCACAAACTTTTAGACATCCAGTAGATATTTTATGAATACTGTAGCTTTGTAAGCAATAATCTAAGTTAGATGCACATTATTTACCTCTTTTTTAAATGCCTCTTCTACTGACGATTTATTTAGTCCATCTTTACAAGATTCACTTTTGAGGATAACTGTTGTGTTAATCACTTCTCCTCCAATGTCTGAAAAGTACGAGAAAAATCATTACTAAAAGATTTACCAAAAATTTTTATTGATACCAGTATTCCTTTAGCAAAATAGGATGTCTGGAAAACTTTAAGCCCTTTCTGAGGTTATTTCACCTTATTTTACCAGACAATTGAGGAGTCTGTTGCTTTCTGTATTGGTATACCACTTGTTATAAGAACAACTAGTATTTTTACCATAGCTTACGTGATCCTGGGCACTAGTTAACTTCTAATCATTATTTTCATTGGTGGAATGTATTAGTTGTTTACCAAATGACAATTTGTGATATTGTTAATCAAATACACATACTCCATTAATTGGCCTTTTCTCTTCACCATTAATCAGAGTGACAGTCAGACTAAAGTTTCAAAACATTTCTTTAATTTAAGTGAAACAATTTAGGGTAACACAGTCACTCATATCAGACTGATCTTCTACTTACAAACTACAAGTAGATCATCAGGTAAATGTCGAGAGGTAACAAGATGTCATTCTCCTGCTCTAGCTTTTGAAAGCATTGTGAAATCGATGTAAAAAGCTTCTCAGCATGCAATGAATAGAAGATGAAAGAAAACAACATTCTACAGTGTAATCCCCCCCCAAAATAAAAATCCAACACAATTATAGTTTTTGCAGTGTCTCAGAAACCCTGGGGTTATAGCTGTTTGCCCTACTTATGATACTCACAGCCATAAAGCACCTGAAGTTAAAATTACTGCAATGCTTTCATTGTATTTTTACATGTGATAGAATCATCAATATTTTACTCAGATGCAATCATTCAAAAACAGATAAATATGCACCAAGAAAAAGTGGAAGCATGATTTGGGCCTCTGCAACCTCACAGGCTAACCCCCAGTTCAACTCTGAGAACCCAACCTAAAATGTCACATTGGTGCATGTATCAAGCTACAGTACAACTGTATAATGCATTCATGACTGCAATGTAACTTACAAACATTGGCAGTTTTTGAATCATTTCCATGTCTATTGGCCACTTCACAGGTATAGTTGACATCATTACAGACATTTAAAAGATCAAGTGTACTCTTGTCACAAACTTGTCCTGAGCCACATGGAGTCCAAGCATATGTAGGCCGAGGTTTCCCTTCTGCTGTACAATTAAGAGTTACACTCTCATTTAAACCAACGATATACTCAGCTTTAAATTTACTGGGAAGAATCTTGGCTGGATCTGAAATCAAATTGAAAGATAACAAATCAGATTAACAAACCGCATCTACAAAAAGATGCATCTGAGGGAATTGCCTTCAAAAGCTATGGGGTCCAACCACTCCAGTACAATACAAACAAAATAATATTCTTGATCTAGTCTGATGTTATGTAGTTGGGCTGATTTACAGGGGCTTGCAAATAGTGCTCTATGGTGTGGTTCCAATTATATGTAAACTGCTATTGTCTGGATGTTAACTGGATGATCTTCTGGCTATTCATAGGGTGATGCATGTTAAATATATTATTGCTGATTAAATTTTCATAATATTCATGAATTAAACAAAAAACCTTTTAAGATTGACACTCAGAAAACTATTGAGATGTGATTTCAAATCTTTGGGCTCAGATCTTACCATATATGTTGAACTGGATTGTTTAATGTTTTGAAATAAGCATCAACTGAACATATTTGCTAACACAGACAGTGGCTTAGTGAAACCCCTAAGCTACTGTGTTCTGGGAGGCATTTGCTGACTTCTGTCGATGTAAACCCCTCTTGAAATTAAGTTAATGTTGTGTTATGAGGCTTAAGGTACCACTGTCTGTAATCTTCAGAGAGTACACTAGCCGTCTGAATACTTCTATTCTCCGAGCAATGAAAACATGAATATGCTTTCAGGAGGCTTTTTATTCTTAAAAGTTTCGACGGTATTTCTAATTTTCAGGATGCGTCCCAACCAGAAGCAAGCAAATAATTATATTAAACCATCTTAATTCCATTTAGTTACACCACTGACATAAGATTGAAATTTGTGAAAATTACAATTCTAGACAAAGGACCAGTTCCAAGTATATCCTGCATATTTCTAGCAGCATCATTGCCTTTCTCATCCTACTGCCAACTACCACATGTAACTCCATTTATAAAAAATTATAAAGGGATTGCTGGTTTTCACTGTCACACTCACATCACCATCATCAAAACCATTCAACAAATAAATTCAAGAATTACAGACTGAGATAAAATAAGATGACTATTCAAACAGTCTTACAATGATTCAGGTCTGTGCAATGTATTATGCAGAAGAAATCTGAAGAAATGTTTAACTACAATTTATAAGGATTGGTACAGAGACATGCACCATGAGGGGTAAAAATATGGCAGCTAACAAAAACATTTCTTATTGAGGTTTGCTACAAAAAGCTTGCAGTTGTTTTCTAAGGGCTTGTAAACATTTCCATGACTACTCCATGAGTCTCTCGCAAGGACTGTTCAAATAACAAAACCTCGTCAGAAAAGTCACCTTTTTTTACTCAGAGTGACAGCATTCTCAGCTGTCATTATAATATATTGTGTCATGCAAAAGTGTAGAAAATTCAACCTTACTTTATCACTAGACAAAAACACCCTATTAAACTGAAAAGTTGTGAAAAGATAAGTCTTCAGCTTTTCTAAAAACTAACTATTTTATCTCAAAGGGATTGATAATTCCTTATATTTTAACTTTGAGGACATCACAGGAATACCAAGAAGTAATATTTCATAAACATGGGCAAGCATTTCATCATGGTTTCCAAACACAAGAAAACTGATGAAGGCACAAGGGTAAAGGCCAGCTACTCTTATTGTTTTCAAGTATTTGGAAACCCCGATGAAACATGAAGCCTGAGTTTATGGAATGGCATCTCAAGAGGGCCTAATCTATTAACAAGAAATCAGAACGACCATGCAACACAACCAAATTTGGTT